ATGGCACATGTACGGAGTTCTGAGAATAGATGCACAGTCGCAAGTCTAAGGCATCATCAACTGCATCTCTAATCCTAACACCTTAGTAATGTGAAGCAGGGGCAAGACAATCTCTGGAGCTTTATGGACAGCAAATTTAATCTATTAATGAGTGCCTGGGTTTGTTAGTGTCTTCAAAAGTAATGTACATCATGATCAAAGAAGTCAGGAAATATTGCTTTTGGCTTTCACACATTTATACACATGTACATTTATATTTCCCTGCTCATACTTTCTCTCCTCTCTCTGTCTCTGTCTCTGTCTCTGTCTCTGTCTCTCTCTCTCTCTCTCTCTCTCTCTCTCTGTCTCTCTCTCTCTCTTTTGCTCTTGTTCTCGCTCTCTCTCTCTTTCTCTCCTCTCTTCATATATACATATATGTGTGTGATATATATGAAACAGAAGGAATTCTTCCCCAAATACTTTCAAGACTTCAAAGAAATATGTAAATATATACAATCAAAAATTTTGAAAATGGAAAGGATAACAAAATGGGGACTATATTTGTTGTATACAAGAATACAGACTTTAAGGAACTTCTGATCAATGTCAAGAAAAACAAGCATAACAAAAATGGTTAATTCATTCTTTTCATCTATCATTTTATTAACATAATTAAGAACAAAGTACACAGGATCACCTCAGTGGATGTCAAAAGGACTTGAGAAAATACCACCTCCTTCTGTGATAAGGACACTGGCTTGGTAGTTATCAACATCCTTAAAAGAAATCAACAAAGAAAGCATTAGTATTAAAATGCTGAGTGCTGAATAGTTAAAATGCTTGAGATTGCACCGGAAAAACTTGATTTCTGTTTCAAGAGGATGAAATTTCATAAGTGTACAAGTTATAAGGCATCCACAAACAAAATAAGAGAAAACTCCTTTTTTATATATTAATGAGTCAATATACAAAGATCAATATGTAAATTCAGCTATAGTTTCACATCAATAAACAACACAGAACTTTCATTGAAAAAATGTTAATTTAGTAGTAGGATCAAAAAGATAACTTTTAAGTGAGGAATGCTAAACATTTAAGAATATTGAAGAAGTCAGAATTAAATGTCCACTTTTATATCACAGAAGGTTTAAAATTAAGATGAAATCTGTCTTCTAATTCATGGTCCGATGGAATGTGATCAATACTAACCTACCAGAAAATATCTGTAGAAAAGATAAAACCTTACCAATGATTTCAAAATTCAAATGTAACTGGGAATAATTCATAATACTAAAAATAAGCTTAAAAATAGAACAATGTTCAACCTCAAAATTTACTAAAAAGCAACAAACACTGCTTCATTTGATAGTCACACAGGATAAACAAGATTGTTCTGTAAAATTAAAAAATCTAGGATAAATACATACATGTCTAAATAATTTGATTTTCACAAGATTATCAAACCATTCAATGAAAAAAAATGAACATGTCTTGAACAAGTGGTGCCAATACCTGGGTGTCTATTCACAAAACTGTAAACATGAACCAACACATCAGACCATTCACAAAGTTGACTCAAGTCCACCAAAACAAGAATAAAAGAATTAACATCTGAATTTCTTAAAACTATAATAAAGCCTCATAACTTCTAGCTTCCTAGTTCATTCTGAGTAATTGAATAAAATTGGATTTCTTGAAAATTATAAACCTTAAAAGCTGAAGCTGAAGCTTGGTGCTAAAATGTGGCTTTAGTCTGTCTCATTCCCTGGAATCTATCTCCAGCAATACGAAATGGTAAAAAGTATTCTTTTTGTAATGAGAGGGCATATTTGAGAAAATATAAATGCAAAATTACAATGGAAGAATATATTTGGAATTCAATCACTCACATATTGATGAAGAAGATATATTCATGCAACAATTTAAAAAAAATTGACAGCACTCCAGATTAAACATAAAATTATTATATTATTCAGTAATTATATATAAATATATATTACTATATTATAAAACTATACATACATATATTATATATGCGGATATAGGTAGATTAGATAGATAGATAGATAGATAGATAGATAGATAGATAGAGTCGGTATCTGCCCCCAATATATAAATATGGATCAGGACCTCATTTCTTATGATTTCAAAATTATACTAAAATACATAATAATTCAAATCATTTTGATTAATAATTAGTAGTCAAAATGTCTACTAGAAAAATTCTATTTTATGTTACTAGGGTTTTTTTGTTTTTTGTTTTTTGTTTTGGTAAAGCTAATCATAACTTTTGTGTTACATATTCCTATGTAGGTGAATATTTGTGAGGAATGTTATATTCATTTAGAGTATGAATAACTTTCCACATTGTGGTTGAGTTAGGACAGATTCTGAGGCTTATATACAGTCTGTATTTAACTATGGCTTTGATAACTGTTATGCTATCATTTTATTATGCATTCAAGCTACGTATCCATTTTGTACGTTTCTTCACAAATCATTTCCTTTTTCTAATTTCCTTTTAAGATACTACTTTGCTTTTTCTTTTGTCTTATTGACTTACACAGAAAACCATTTTGAAAACTTCAAGAAAAATCTACTTTTTCCTGAAAGTTTACAATGCTCATATTCATTTTAATTTATTTTTTTATTTATTTTAACGTTAAAATAAAAAGAAACATAGATGTTTCCTTGTGGCCTTTATGTGCAGTAGGTTTAATTTCTCCTCTCTATTTTCCACTCACCCTTCCTCTCCAACTCCTCCCCTTTCTAATAGTTTTCAATGTCTGCATCCTGTCTGCTACTTTATACTTTCACATTACGGGCCTTCTACAGTCCCCCCCACCCCATGTCTATCCTAACAGTCACGTTTCTGTTACCCTGAGCCTCTTTCAGAGTTTCTTGCCTCCTCCCACACTTACTCTCTCATAAATACTTATTTATAAAAGTTAAAAGCTAGGATCAACCTGAGAAATAACATTTATTATTTGTCTTTCTGAACCTTAGTTACCCCACCTAGGTGTTTCCAGGTCCATTTGTTTCTTCTTGGCAGATATACTTATTTTTAAAACGTTATTTTTTAAAAATATCAATGTTAATTATATTACACTCATGAAACTTCAAATATTAAGAAGTTAATATTTTGTTCGCAAAATATCAGCACCAAAATGTTTTGGATACTGCTAAATATTTGGTCTCATGAATATATGTGATGCTGTATTAGCTATAGTATAAACAATATTAGCATTTAGGTTTATTATTGTGCTTTACTCTTAAAGCAGCTTTAATGACTTTGATAAATTTCAAAACCTCTTAAAATATGTTCAATGTTGTCTTTGCTCTTCTCTCTTCTATTCTCTTGTCTTCTCTTGTCTTGTCTTCTCTTTTCTTCTCTTTTCTTCTCTTGTCTTCTCTTGCCTTCTCTTGTCCTGTCCTGTCCTGTCCAGTCCTGTCCTGTCCTGTCCTGTCCTGTCCTGTCCTGTCCTGTCCTGTCCTCTCCTCTCCTCTCCTCTCCTCTCCTCTCCTCTCCTCTCCTCTCCTCTCCTCTCATCTTCTCTTCTCTTCCTACCTTCCCTCTTTGTCCCTTCTCTCTCCATTCCCCTCCCACCAACCTGATCATGGCCAGCCTTTACTCCTATTCTCTTTATCACCTCCCTCCACATGCCATAAATAAACTCTCTTCTATACTTGAAAATGTTCAGTGTTTATTAGATATGTGATGATAGGTCACTTATGGTAAACAACTGGCAGACCTTCCCATTAGCTGTTCAAATTTAATCACCATAAGTAAATGACAATTTGTGAGTGAGATGATTTAATCATTTCATTTATATTCTGAATGAACAAGCACCAACTTTTTTTAAAATAGTTTTTCTATTTTAAGTGTTGCAAAGAACTAATTTCCTATGAAAATTATATGCATAGTATGTATTTTGCCACTTCAGACTGACTTCCATATGAATCCCATGACTCAGACCCGGGATCTGAATTCTAGTCTATGTGTTCATCTAGAAGCAGAATTAGTCTGTGGATATCAGTCTCACAGCTGCTTCTATATGGACCTACTATGTTCTTGGATTTATTTCAAGAAGATGTTGCTTCATTTTTCTTTTGTTCCTTTACCTACAGAGGATGGGATTGAAATACATAAAGTATCTCTCTAATATTTATAATAAAGTGTTTCTAATTTGTGAAAGTATAGAGATAAGGCATTTCTAATGTTATTTGAAAAATATTTTACTTAGCCAAAATCTACCACCCAGCCACAAAACATTGAAATGTAAAAGAAAATCAAATCTTATAAATAATGACATTTAAAATGTTTATAACCTTAAGGTGATCTTCTCAAAAGAACCTACTATATTTGACATGATTTAATAAGGAACAGTGAACTAATTACTAAAATTAATATGTACTGTTACTTATTCAAAATTATGATTTGTGGTGTGTAAACTCTGAACATTTGGAGATTTTTGTTTACATCACTATAATTTACTGTAAGACTTGTGAATTCTAGTCAAGTTCTGCAAGCTATAGGAATATAGGTAGGTTGTAGAATGTGTGTTTTTATCCATTTTAAATCATCTCTAAAGCTTTATGTTTCAAAATTCTTAAGATACTAGAATAAAATAAATATTTTTTCACATGTGTCATTGCTGATGTTGACAAGCAATTATACAATAGTAAATTATTCTAGAGAATGCCTCACTGCTGTTGAGAATTTGAGTTACTGTGTTACAGTGAGTTGATGGTGCGTGGAGGCTGGGGTGTTTCCTAACATGAAGTTGCCCTACTTTGCCCCAGCAGTGATAGGAAGAGCTGATGTCTAAGTCTTGTGAATAACTGAAGCACTTTGAAAACTACTTGTCTTTATTCAGTTGACTTTGTCTTTGCTAAGCTTTTTCCTCTGACTCCCCACTTTCCTCCCTCCATCTCTCATTCCTTCTATTATTCTCCTTTTCTTTTTTTTGCATCCCTTCCTTTTTGTCTTTCCTCCCAATTTCACTTACTATATGTAAAATATGGTCCCTTTATATGTAATAGAATATTGTTCAAGAATAGAATAAACTCCTTCTATTTTTCTCCTTTTCTTCTTTTTCTCATTCCTTCCTTCTTTCCTTTCCTCCCAATTTCACTTACTATATGTAAAAGATAGTCCCTTTATACATTATTCCATATTGTTCAAAAATAGAATAAAAGCTAAACTATGTTAAGTAGAATTTAAATTATGATAAGTAGAATTTAGTTTAAGATTAATATCTTATATTTATATGTGCTAAAAACACAAATTAAAGAAATTGATCAAACCATAAAGAAATCTGGAATAATGGTAAAATGACGTATTATTATTATTACTAATCTTTTTTACAGCTTAGTCATTATCCATCTTCTGGTCTGTCTTCGGACTGTTCTTCATCCCATTCCTCCTCTCCTATCTCCAAGAGAATATCCACTCTATGTCAACGCCACTAGAACTCCCCACTCCCTGGTGCCTCAAGTCTCTTGAGGGTTAGGTGTGTCTTCTCTCACTGAGGCCAGACCAGGAAGTCTTCTACTGTATATGTGTTGGGGGGGGTCTCATATCAGTTAGTGTATGCTACCTGATTGGTGGCTCAATATCTGAGAGATCTAAGGGTTTCAGGTTAGTTAAGACTGCTCATCTTCCTATGGGGTTGCCCTTCTCAGTTTCTTCCAGATTTTCCCTAATTCAATCACAGGGGTCCGGGCTTCTGTCCATTGGTTGGGAATAAGTATTTGCATCGGACTTGAGCTTACAGACAGGACCCTAGCATGGTTGCCCTCTGAAAGGCTTAACAAGCAGATGAAAGAGTCAGATGCAGATAGTTACATCCAACCAATAAGATGATTTTTAAAACAGCCCTTTTATTAATTCTTTGAGAATTTCATAAGCTATATTTGATCATGAACATATCTTTTCCAGAACTCCATTCAGATCCATAGATATCTTCCTACCCACCCAGCTTTCCATCCTCTCTCTTTTTATGCTCTCTGTTTTTAATTTGTGCTATAAAAATGAAGGCTGGATGCCCCAGGGGGTGGGAATTTTGAGGGTGGGGAGGTGGGAGTGGGGAGTTAGGTAGGGGTTACATCCACAGAGAAGAAGGAGGAGGGGTGAGGGGATAGGGGGTTCCTGGGTGGGTGGGGGATGGGGTAAGGAGACAACATATGAAATGTAAATAAAACATCCAATAAAAAAAATAGAATCCTGTGGGCCACCCCCCCAAAAAATATACTCTTCAGTTTAGTGTTGTTCCTTGGACAGTGGTTGACTTACCAGGAGTTACATGTTTAAAGAAAACTTAATCTCTTTCAGCAGTTACCAATTACCAGTAGCTCCTCAGCTTGGGGTTAGAATTTGTGTTCTCCTCCCCCTGCCATGGTGGGAATTTAGTTGGCTTGAACTTATTCAAGTCTTGTGCACAAGCTGTTTGTCTTAGTGTTTCTATTGCTGCAATGAAACATTAATGAACAAAAAGCAAGATGGGGAGGAAAGGGTTTCTTCTGCTTATACTTCCAGATCATAGCCTATCTTTGGAGGAAGTCAGGTTAGGAACTCAAACAGGGCAGGATCCTGGAGTCAGAGGCTGATAAAAGATCAAAGAAGTATGCTGCATGTTGACTTGCTTCACATGGTTTACTCAGCCTACATTCTTATAGACTCCAGTACCACCAGCCCAGGGATGACACTATTCACAATGGGCTGGGCTAATTAAGAACATGCCTTATAGTGGCATTTTCTCAATTGAGGCTACTTCCTCCACAATGAAACTAGCTTGTGGCATTTTGACATAAACCTAGTTAGCCAGTATACTTTTATATCTGAAAAGTACTGTTTCTGTAGAGTAGTCTACTGACATTAGTTCTTAGAATATTTTCCTTCCCAGTTTTACAATGACTCATTGAAATTTTTGAGGGTGTGTATGATAATAGATATTCCACTTAGGGCTGAGTAATCTGCAGGCTTTTATTCTCACATCTTGATAAGGGTGTCTCTGTTAATAGTCAATGACTGCAGACATATTTCTGATGAGCTTCGAGAAATGGGTTACCTGGCCATTGACTGAGCCCCACATTGTAAAATTAGTCAACATAAGTAGGTCCTGGTTTTGACTGTAGGAACTGAGTGTATACCCCCACTTGCTGGAAAGGTCAAGGCCTTCTTGGCTGATTCATCTGAGTTTGAGTATGCTCTTTCTGCTGCTACTGCAGCCCCACACCAAGGATGAAGCCAAGGGAGAGTTGGAGGAGTCAAATGAGGATAACAGATTTCCTTTCTTTAACTAAGCCTTTCAAGGAAACCAGCTCAGCCAGCTTAATTTGAGAAAAATGGAAATATAGGCTTATTTCTCTTAAAGCAACAGTAACAAAATTGTGTGTATACTTCTTAAGCAACACTGATCTCAGGACTGTGAGACACAGGAAAAATTCAAGTTTACCATGGAGCAAGAACATATAATACACTGAGACAGAGATGAAAGATCGCCCTTCATTGACCCTCTTCTGTGTTTGTTTCAGACAATGAAAACGTTATTGGCAATGAGGAAACAACTTAAATTTTTATCTCATTTGCCATTTCAATGAGTGTGACAAAAAAGAAAATCTTGGGTCGTACTGTTCTCATATATTGCAAATACTTAGATGATAGACAGTGTGTTCTACCAAGAAGGCATTTGACCGAATGTAATTCAATTGTAAGTATTCACATTGTAATTTCTTACTTTTGCTTTTGCTTGTTCAATAGCTATAGCTAAAGTTTCCAAAGCAAGATTCTTGTAGTATATTCTGTTATAGAGATGGTATTTTCTTTGAACATTGTGAGTGGTATGCATACATTTTGTTTCTGTGAAGATGTTCAGTTTCTATTAGACAGAATCAAAGACTTTAATGCTAATATAATTATGAAATAATCCTTCCAACTTATAATAGATATTATTTTTAGTCTTATATAGCATGTTTGCCAGAAAATAAAATAAACCAAACCAAACTGATCGATCAAACAACCAAAAACAAGCAAAAAACAAAAAACAAAAACAACAAAAAACAAAACAAATCAAAACAAAAAACCACAAAAACCCTATGGTGATCAAATAATGAAGAGCAAAGTTTTACTTTGCATCACAGCTTCAGAAATTTTACCTCACGATCGATTAGATCCTTTGGTTTCGAGTAAGTGTCATAACAAGGAACAAAAGAGAGAAAGATGGAGAGATATGTCCTCTGATATCTCTAAATAACACTTTTAATGAGCTGAAGAGCCCACAGTTAGCCCATACCTGGCAAACGCTTGCCTCCCAGTGAAGAAAAGTTTAGGTCAAGGTTCAAGAACATGAAACTTTTCTTTTTTTATTTAATCGTTTTTTTACAGTCCGAATTTTAACCCTGTCCCGGTATACCCTCTGACTGTTCCCCATTCTATACCTCTTCCCAACCCTCCAGTCTTCACGAGGATGTCCCTACCTCCTCACTCCCCACCCCACCAGTCCTCTGCTGTATATGTGCTGGAGTCTCATATCAGCTGGTGTAAGCTGCTTGGTTGGTGGTCCAATGTCTGAGAGATCTCAGGGGTCCAGGTTAATTGAGACTGCTAGTCTTCCTACAAGGTTGCCCTCCTCCTCGGCTTCTTCCAGCTTTTCCATAACTCAACCACAGGGTCAGCAACTTCTGTCCATTGGTTAGGTGCAAACATCTACATCTGACTCTTTGAGCTGCTTGTTGCATGACTTTCAAAGGGTAGTCATGATACGTCCTTTTTTTGTGAGTGCTCTGTAGCCTCAGTAATCGTTTCAGGCCTTGGGGTCTCCACTTGAGCTGGATCCAACTTTGAGCCTGTCTACTTTTCTTCAGACTTCTTTCCATTTATATCCCTGAATTTTTTTTCAGACGGGAACAATTATGAGCTAGAGTTTTGACGGTGGGATGGCAACCCCATCCCTTATTTGATGCCCTGTCTTTCTGCTGGAGGTGGACTCTACAAGTCCCCTCTCCCCACTGTAGGGAATTTCGTCTAAGATCCCCCTCTTTGAGCTCTGAGAGTATCTCATCTCCCAGGTCTCTAGTACATTCTGAAGGATCCCCTCACCTCCTACCTCCTGAGGTTGCCTGTTTCCATTTTTTTCTGCTAACCCTCATGGTTTCAGTCCTTTTCCCAATAACATGAACTTTGATGAGTTTTTGGATCCAACAAACTTGACTAACATAACCTTATCCTTATAAAAATGTTTTATTCTCCATTTGTTTAGAAAAAATGACAAGTTTTCCTGTCAAGTCTTGCTATTCTCAGTAGTAAAAACTCCTTTGCAATTTAAAGGACTTGTCTTATGGGATTAGGAAAAATTCCTCAGTACTGATAAATACAAGAAATTTGTCATGTTGTTTTCTGTATTTCTGTATTCTAGGTCACTGGAAATATAAATTGTGATCATTTCATTCAATGGCATCAAGAGTTTACTCAGACAATATCAACTGTTATTTATAGGCTGAATTATGTCACATCAAGATTCATATTTTGGGGGCTGGAGAGATGGCTCAGTGGTTAACAGCACTGACCACTCTTCCAGAGGTCCTGAGTTTAATTCCCAGCAACAACATAGTGGCTCACAACCATATGTAATGGTATCTGATGCCCTCTTCTGGTGTATTTAAAGACAGCTACAGGGTACTAATATACATAAAATAAATAAATCTTTAAAAAATGATTCATGTTTTGTATTTAACTACAGTTGAAAATTGTATGTTCAATAGGTATACATGGTTAAATGAGATGTCAAAGTGGGTTTCTCATGAAATATGTTTCACTAGTCAAAGAGGACAGATGTATGAAATAACACTAACATTACCTTAATCGCGAACTTTATCTTCCAGACCTGTGTTAAAGACATGCACACTGGATCTTTTATTACTAATGTCTGAAAAAAAAACCTAATATGCCAGTTAAGGGGAGTGTGTATTTTGCTTGTATGTCAGAGATTGATGTTATTCATTTGTAAATTATCACAATTAATATACATAAAATTTACCTTTCAGAATTAATTGCAATTATGGCAAGTAAAAGAATGATATTTACATGTATCATAGCTATAGCATATTCGATGAAATTACTATACAGACAATTTGCATAACTTTTTAGAAAAGTAAATATTTTTGATTTAGAAGTTCATAAAGATAAATCATTTAAAGAAAATGAATGGAAACATCTGTGCTGAGATATCACCATTCTACAATCAGAGTAATCAAAACTAGTTTCAGTGCTCTGAATAAAGGATGCTTCAATTCATGGAAATTAAAAATGCCTGCTATGGTAAAGAAACTGTTGTTTGGACTGGATATTATCCATTCATGTAGGGAATCAGTTTCTTGAATATAAAACTGCAACAGAATATTTAAAAGGATTTAACTCATGAGGATGCAGTATATGTACTACCACAAAGAAATATCTTGATTTACATATTTTCCAACTTGATAGAGTTACTTTGCTGATGACATATTTTGCTATTGAACTTGAATATTACCTAAGTATTTATGCTACAATTAACCTAGAATGAAAACGTAACTTTGTACTACTAATTCAAAAGCTGAAACATTCAAAAGACAAAGAAATTTCAAAATCAAATGTTTATGAAATATACATATAACCTATCCTTACCTGATATTATTACAACTGTCTATATATTAATTTAATTGTTTTAGTGGTCACAATATTATTATGAAGAAAAATATTAATGGAAATTTCTAAATTAATAGCTATATTTACAATAAAAATGAGATAGAGCACTTTTATTTCTTAAATTAATATATTTATAAGTCCACACAATTATACAAAATTCAAACAAGGGATTGATAACTAATTTGATGACACTATGTTTAGACCTAATCATAAATAGATTGTCATAAAAATAATAACAGTATAAGAAGAAGAAATAACCAAAGCTTATATTGTATTTTAAAATTAGGCAAAAGTAAAATGAGAAATTATTTGTGTGCAGAAAATGTGACCAGTTATACATGATTACATATGCCTACTTTATTCCATATTGTTTCATGAAAAATAAAAGAATTTTTTTTATTTTTCCTAATTACTTCTATTGTCTAACAGTGAATATTTTTGTTGAGTTAAAAAGAATTACATGAGATATGTAATCATTAATACTTTCCAGATTATTTGTTTAAGTATTATTCTTACATGAATAGTATTTCTTTGATTAAAACTATTAATAATAACCTTAGATGTGTTTCTTAAATATCACATATTGTCAGTTTCTGAAGTGTATAAAGCAGATGAAACTTTGTCATAGAAATATATATGTGGAACTGTGTGTTTGTGTATGAGGGGATAAAAGTATTGGCTTTAGGCTGGATATATAGAATAGTTCATAAAGCATACATGATCTGGGTTCCAACACTTAGAACATTTGTAAACAAGCCATGCATTGTACATGTGCTTATAATCCCACTTATGAGAAAGCAGAAAAAGGTTGATTGCTATGGCTCTCTTGCCTGCCAGCCTAGCCCTCTTGTTGAGGTTCAGGCTGATAAGAGGTTTTCTCAAAAGCAAAAAATTAAATACATTGATCTTGAGGAATAGCGTCACTAGTTGATCTCTGGATTCCATGGCCTCCAAGTGTACAAACATTCATAAACACACACACACACAAACACATACACACACAAGCACACAAAAATTGTTATAGGACATCAGTTGATATAGTAGAAATAAGAATATTCATACAGATTGACTTTTGCTCCAGAAAAATGTTGTTTTAAGCAAAATATGAATCATTACATTTTACCAGTTAATACTCGGGAGCCAGATTCTGGAGTGAAAGCCTGGTAACTCTGAGAGACAGAGAAAGCATCCACCTGACGTTCTTCCCTAGGGAACATCACAAAATACAGCTCTTTTTCTCCAAGCTTGCTTGAAAACCATTTGAACTGAACATCCCTCCACTCTACCTCCTGTGAGCATCTCTATTTGCCCTCTTGCCTTCTCCTTATTCTTTATTTTATTCAATCTTCATTCCCTATCGGTGACTTTATTTAATCATATTTACAATAAATAAAAAACTCTTGGGTTGAAAGTATGTTCTAGGGCTGAACCACACCTTAACTGGAAATAGTTCTTTTTCCAGTAAATAACAAAATCTTGAGGTTCACAATGTGATCAAATCCTTTGCATCACTTCCCTCTGTCATCTAAATGAAAAGAGAAGATGTTAATTCTAACACAGTAAAACTACTTACAATAACGAACTTATCTTGGTCAAACTTTCTATAGTGTTCAGCTCAATTGTATTTTGGAATTTTAGGATTAAGTATTTTTTTTTTTAGTTTGAGATAGTGTAAAACATTCCTGTCAATCTCATATTAATTCAGCAATTTGAATGTTGTGAGCAGTTTCTAGTTCCATGCTGATCTTTGAGTGGTGCTTGTCAGCTTAGTGGTAATCTTGACTATGTAGATCACAGCAGACTGAGTATATAGTTTTCCATGCCTAGCAAAATGTCTAGATTTGTTTCTCAAAGAATGAATATTTATTCTCTATATAGGAAACATTTGCTATAGAAGACAACAGGTCAATGTTTGTGGACTCCTTTTGCTTTATGAAGAATTCTCAGTTTCCAATTTACGAGATGTCCTACCCAATAATACCGAAGTTCTTAGGTCTATTCTCAAACAAAAGATTGACCACCTTTTTGGCCTCCTGTTTCTTCACGATGGCAAGAGCTGAGGCCACCTTCTTCCCCTTGGCCTTCTTTCATTTGGGTATCCAGCCCAGAAGAGATCTCTTTGCTGCAACAGCAAAGTGTCATCCTCTAGAAGTACCTCAAAATATCTCCTGCCATTAGCCAGTTCACCCAGGTCCTGGACAGGCAAACAGCTACCCAGCTGCTTAAGTTTGCCCACAAGTACAGGCCATAGACAAAGCAAGAGAAGAAGCAAAGGCTTTAGCCTGTGCTAAGAAGAAAGATGCGGGCAAACAGGACATCCCAAATGAGATACCACCTGTCCACCGAGCAGGAGTCAATACAGTCACCACCTTAGTGGAGATCCAAAAGGCTCAGCTGGTGGTGATTGCCCATGATGTAGACCCCATTGAGCTGGCAGTTTTCCTGCCTGCCCTGTGCCGAAAGATGGGGATTCCCTACTCCATCATCAAAGGAAAGGCCAGACTGGTGCTCCTGATCCACAGAAATATGTGCACCACTGTTGCCTTCACACAGGTTAACAGGGAAGGCAAGGTTGTTCAGGATAAGGTGGTGGAAGCTATTAAGACCGAATACAATGACAGATATGACAAGATCTGCCATAACTATGGTGGCAATGTCATGGGTCCTACGTCTGTGACTCAAACTGCCAGGCTGGAAAAGGCAAAGGCTAAAGAACTTACTATTAAACTGGGTTAAATGTACACTGCTAAGTTTTTTGAACATAAATTAAAAACCAAAACAAACAAAAACAACGAAAAAAGGACATCATGAAATTTGTAGGCAAATGAATAGAACTAGAAAATATTATCCTGAGTGAGGTAACCCAGACCCAAAAGGACATATATAGTATGTATTCACTGATAAGTGGATATTAGCCAAAAAGTTCAGAATACCCATGATACAACTCACAGACCACAGGAATCTTAAGAAGAAGGAAGGCCCAAGTGTGGATACCTGAAACTCACTTAGAAGTGGAACAAAATAATCATGGGAGGCAGGGGGAGGGAAGAAACTGAGTAAGAGAGGGTAAGGGAGGGGAAAAGAAGGAGCAGGATCAGTTATGGGGAGAGTCAGAAGGAATGCCCAGAGGGCCGGGGGAATGAATTGAAATATTCAGCAGTGGAGGTTAGGGGACAGGGGGAACATCTAGAAAGTCTCAAAGACCTGAGATGTGAGAGGCTACCAGGACCCAATTCAGATGATATTAGCCAAAATGACCAACAGTGGGGACATGGAATCAGAAGAGACCACTGCCAGTAGATAGACATGGCCCCCAGTAGAGACAGTGAGCCATCAACCCATCTGGAAAATTGTTATCCCAGAATTGTTCCAGTCTAAAGGAAATGCAGGGACCAAAATGGAGCAAAGACTGAAAGAAAGGCTACTCAGTGACTGGCCCATCTTGGGATCCATCCCAAGCACTCACACCAAATCCTGACACTATTACTGAGGCCACTTTGTGCATGCAGAGTGGAACATGGCATAGCTGTCCTGTGAAAGGCTGTACCAGCAACTGACTGGGAAGAAACTAAACCAAAGACCAAGGGACATACATATACTGGGCTGTGGCCCCAGACACATGTGTAGAAGAGGACTGCCTTGTATGTCCTCAGTGGGAGAGGATGAGCTTAATTATATGGAAACTTGATGTGGAAGGGAAGAGGGAAGCTGGTAGGAGTGAGGAGGGAGAACACCCTTTTAGAGTCGGGCAGGGGTTGGGTGGGATGAAGAACATGGGGACCAGAGACTAGGAAGGGGAAGGGGTCAACTTTGGAATGTAAATCTATAAAATACTTTAATAAACAAACAAGCAACAGCAGCAACAACAAAATCAAGGGAAAATCCAATTAGTTCTTTTTATAAACTTAAGTCTTGATTTTGGAATATTTGTTGCTAATTTTTCCAAAAAAATTACTTCAAGATCTTTGCCAGTGTTCATTTCTGCCCATAATGAGGCAATTTCAGCATAAGTAAAATAATGAGACAATTTCAATATTAGTAAAATGTATCGAAATTTCTGTTGAGTCTATTCTGCTAATTGACTATGTTTCATTTTTCCTTTCAGAATCAATTCAACACCTTTTTCTACACAAGTCTTAATTTATTTATTCTACTTTTAGGCTAAAATTATCGATTCTAAGATATTATCTTCTGTCTGCATAGAATTCCTGTGTGAGAGTGAGTAGAAGGCAAAAACAACGCAAATCAAACCCAGCTTTGAGTTCAAATGATCCACATATGCATCCTGCAATTTCTTTTCCGTCAGAGACAATTCTCTTAGCCTCAGGTGATACTTTCCTTGGACTATTTAAGTCTTCATCACCTTGTAAAGTTTGAAATAAATTACCTTCCTCTTGAGTAGTTAATCCCATGTAAACTTTAGCCAGTTAATATCTCCCAGCAATATTTGAAAATCATTAGGAGTTTGTAATTGATCACTCCTGATTTGTACTGTCTGCGGTTTAATTTTCTGTAGACTTACCTTATATCCTAGATAGTTAACAGAGCTTCTTTGTATTTTTTGGAGCCATTTCTAATTCCCAGCAAGGCAATTTTCTTTTTACTTTTTATGTCACTAAATATTTTTCCTATAGTATCTGCCTCTGCATCATCCAGTACAATACCATCCAGATAATGGCAAATTTTATATTGAGGAAACTGATTATGAATTATTTCTAATAGCTGTTGTATGAAATATGGCTTGTGGTAGTACTGTTTAACACTGCTTCTGATAAGACTTTCCAATAATAACTCTTTTATGGACAACTATTATTGTAAATGATTACTGAGAAAGCAAACCTTTCTCTATCACATTCATGCAAAGATATGTGGAAAGGCATTCCTTTAAATCAATTACTATCATAGTTCATGACTTCGGTAACAAAGAAGACAGTGACTATGAAGATTCCAGGTTATGAAGAGCTCACTGGCTGAATCATTTTGTTTAAGACACTTAAATTGGTTAACAGTCTCCATTTTCCTAATTTCTTCCTTTCTTTCTTTCTTTTTTTTTTTTAATAACAAACACAGAAGAATTTCATGGGCTGAAGGATTATTCAATATGTTGCGCATTTATCTGTTCCTGTACCAGCTGTTCTTTCTGTAATTCTCATGTCATGTCTCCATTGTTCCTTACACAAAGGTTTGTAGAAGGAACTTAAAATATAAAAGGTATCATTTTAGTGGTAGGGTGTTTGGTATCTTAGAATGATCAACATCTGTCATATCCTGCTTGTGGATAACCCTACAGTCTGTGATTGTTCTTGATAATACCTTATAATACTTTTCTTAGAAGTATTCTTTACTTTATGGTTTGTTTCTGAGTTTAGACTAATGTCATTGGTGTCTTCCATTGCTACAACAAACCATGTCCTTGTAAAGTCATAGCTATATATTAGAAACATAAAGCTTTGCTTTTCTTATTTGTCCCTGGACCTATACACTGGACCCAACTTACATTTTGTTTTACTTGCAATAAAGTTTCAGTCCCTAGAAGCTGAATATTTACCTTCTGAAGAAGCGAATATGAATGCTAAGATTTGGGTGAAATTATTGTTAGCTCACTTCTGTGTCAACTAAGGCTCCAATTTCAATGCTGTTTATAAGTACTTTTAGCTTTGGTTTATGATTATTTATAGCAGTTTGCCAAATACTTGTTTTCTGGTCTCTCCTGAATTTTTTGTTTTATCTACTGAAGATGTTCTGTCCTCAGTCACATACAGAGCAGTGTTGTTTTAACAACAGGCATTAAATCTTTTAATTGCTTTGTGGATGAGTTCACAGATGCTGACAGGGAACTATTGAATCAAATTTGATATCTGGGCCTGTTGGAGGTCCTTTAGGACATTTCTAGAAGGCAAAAGGTTACCTTCCCTGTCCCTTGTTGGTCTGCATTCATTAGTTCAATGCTGGCCTTTGCCACACTTTCTGCATACTCAGAAGGCTGGAGCCTTCTTTTTTTTATTACCTCTAAAGAGCATTGTTTCTAGGAACTTCTTGCCTACAATCCTTTTCCTTTTTTTTTTAATTTGATACTTTATTTATTTACATTTCTAGTGTTATCATCGTTCCCAGTTTCTCCTCTGCAAACTCCCTCTCCCATCCCCCTTACCATGCTTCCATGAGGGTGCCCCCACCCACTCCTGCCTCACCACCCTAATATTGCTTTACAATGTCTTTTCAAATGACCTTGCTTACCATAATTAACACATTCTACATTTTTCTTTTTCTATTATTATTTTTTTTTCTATGTTGTATACTCCAGATTTTAGTCTCCTCTTGGTCTACCTTCCAACATTTCTACATCCCATACCTCCTTCCTGTCACCTTGTGTCCACAAGGATGCCCCCACCCCCAGACACCCCAGCAGATGTCTAAACTCCCTGGGGCCTCCAGTCTCTTGAAGGTTAGGTGCATCTTCTCTGACTGAACCCAGACCCAGAAATCCTCTGCTGTATATGTGTTGAGGGCCTCATATTAGCTGGAGTATGCTGCCTGGTTGTTGGTCCAGTGTTTGAGACATCTCAGAGGTCTAGGTAATTGAGACTACTGACTTTTCAAAGGTTGACCATCTCCTCAGCTTCCAGTTGTTCTTACTTCTCTTATTAAAGTAGCATCATAGATGTGAGATCCAATATAAGCAGTATTTCAAATCTATTAAAATATTGGTGCTGGTCTTGCCTTTAAAGGTCTAATCACCAGTTTGCATTCTGAATTAGCATTTTCAAAAGCCAAAGATTTGATTAGTATTTTTCTGACTTTTGAATCTCATGCTATTGTTAAAAACAAAGCAAAACAAAAAACTATCGAAGGCTTCTTTTCTTGTGGTGGTAGGGCTTGTATAATTTTACTAAATGACTCATACCTCCTTCCTGATTATTCAACCTTGTCCCAAGCTATGAAAGCAGCAACATGACATAGAAAAAAAGATATGATTATCAAATTCAGTCTCCTTGATAATATAGCATATTGACCTTCACCTAGCAACTGATCCTGCAAAATGACTACCTCTAGCTTTTTGTTGTTGTTGTTGTTGTTCTGTGGCACTAGCTCTCTCTTGCCACTATGTTTGCTATTGTATCTGAGGACCAGCTTTCATTATTGCTGTTGCCAAATCTTTCCAGTCTTAGGGCATAATTGTGTTCTGAGTTGCTCATGAATTTCACGTCGGCTTCACAAGGGTGAATGCATACCAGATGAAACAATTTCTTCCTCAAATTTCCTCAAATTTAATATGTGCATGGGATTCCATTTAGCTTCTTCATAACCTTACTGACACCTATGATCTGCTGGTAGGCCTTACATAGTAACTAAATAAACTAAGGTTGGTTTTCTAACTACCTAAGGTTTCTGCTTTTAAGTTTTATCATACAGCAGTGTGGTAGTTTCATGTCTAAACTCTTCTATGTCTGAATATTTCTCTTTCTTTAATTTATACATCATTCTAAGACTTGTATCTCATCAGTCCACTTTTCTTATTTTTCATTGTAGTGTATCTTTATAGCACAGTCACTATGGTTATTAAGAAAAATAAAGAAATTCCAAAATGATAATAATCATAATCAATATTGAGCCAATTTCATTAAAACAATTTATCTTTTCATTTTCTGCTTATATTTTCAAGACATTTAAATAGCACTATGCAGGGCCTTAGCACCTTGTATTATGGTATTTTCCATTCTGATCCCTCTTTTTGA